CGCTGATAATCATGGTGGCTGTTCTAGGACACAAAGAATGGTGGGGTTTAAAGGAAACATAGAAAGTAAAAGCCAAGAAATAGCTGTTGTTAATGATTTATTTGGCTATATATTTGATTTCTGATAATTGCAGCCAAGTATTTTGATATTTATTTCTTTAATTACTTCAAATCAACCTGCTCTGACTTTTATTTTTCAAATTCAGACAACCTTATATCTCAGCTGGAACGAAGTGCCTTCTTTGATGACATTGTCAGAAAAGACATATTCTTCTTGACTGTCCATGATGCTGTGCTCTACATTAGGAATCAAATGACATGCAGTGACAGCCAGGATCCCATATTTGAGAAGGTAAGGATATCTAGGAGCACGTTTCCCTTCCTTCCATCGCCTAGCATTCATTCTGGCAATTTCTGCTACGGCATGGCACATTTGAAAACTAAAAAAAGTAAGAATCCAATAAATTGGACAGCTCCCAAAATGTAAGTTCCTCTCAGCTAAACTAAAGCAACAGCTTTGTCAAGGAGCAGTAAACAACAGACCTGTAAGTCTGTTGTGGAAGTTGTATTAAGATACTTCAGAATAATAAATCTACTTCAGTGATACGGACAATGTATAACTCGTTGTGTTTCTTTCTGCCAAGATTTCACTTATGCAGGAGTCTAAAGAACCTATAGAATTCACAGAAACAACCCGGACTGATGATGAGCTTGATGTTCAGGAAGAGGTATGCTCTTTAGATCTGAATGTGTCAATTACTCAAAGAATACTGGTGGTTTTACTCCTTTGTAGTACTGAGCCATGCCGTTAGGCTTTTTCAGTAGGCTGTGGTAGCTGGTACTCCTGATTAAGCCCTCGTCCACCCCCATACCTCCTCCCCTGCCACTTTTTTTTTTTTTTTGGGGGGTGGGAGACATTATTATGAATATGCAAGAAAGCCAAATGTTACTCTATCACTAACATAAATACCTACCACCTCTCCAGTGAGCGTCCTAATCACCGGGTTACTGTGCAGAGAAGCACTTTTCTCTCCTCTGTAACTCACGGTGCAGAAAGGAATGAAGGATTTAAGAAAGCTAGAAAGACACCACGGTTCTGTAAAAGAAGCACTTTTACATGGCAGGCCAAAAGACTTGAATTCTGATTTCTGTTCAGAATTGCTTAGATATATATATTGCTGTCATAAAATGTGAAAAAGAAGCCAGGCTCTAAACCACCCATCCAAGCTCAGACATTGTTCTGAGAGGCTTCTGTCCTCCATCTTTATGGCCACTTTTTGCAGATACCTTCAGACCTGCAGCTTCCTGACTGATCTGTCTGGTGCAGACACGAGTCACTGTTACTTTCTCTGTACTGTCAATGAGCCCAGGCTGAACTTTGTGTAGTCAACAAACACACAAACATTGTTATTTTCCAGGTGGTGCATACTCAGAACTAACCATGGCTTGTTTCTCTCCCCCATTTCAAAACCTTTTCACTAGGCTATGCGCAGACTGGCTTCCTGAAGAGGGCCTGCTGGGACTGCCTTCCCTGTGAATTCACAGCAATATTTATGCACCGGTACTATATACACATTTTCTGCAATGAAACCAATCTTGGCACTTGAAGAAAACCCTGATTCTTAGTCTGAATGATACAGATCTCTAGAAATCTCCAAATTTTAGCTACCGTTATCCCTGAAATATTCTGGACCTTGATTCAGCGAGCACTTTCCAATATGATACCTTGATAAAAAAATCAGAAGACTGTTATGAAAGATGTACTCAGTTCAGGGACTAGTCAGGCAAAAGGTGCATTACGCTGCTACGTCGGTGTGTACAGGAAGAGAAGCTGCGTTGTGCTCCGCCTGGGGAGTTGAAGAGACCAAGATTTTTGGATTTCAGGCCTTTTGTCATGTCTTTGTACAACACCTAGCGAGAGGGCAGGAGTTCTAGCTGGCCAAGTTTTGGCAATTCTAGAAGATTTGTGTGACCTTCCTGAAAAATCTCTCTGCATTGTTCTTTCCAAGCAATTCCTTAAATTGCTACAGGTTGTCGGACAGCTGGTTGGAGAACAGGTGACAGGTGGAACAGCCACACGAACAGAAAACTGCACTGAACTACTAAAAACTTTAAATAGACTAAGTTTCAATAGTAAAGACAACTGGATTGGGGTTTATTAGCTTTGTCTTAATCCCACCGTAGCAGATCATGCACTACTATTAATGATCATCCCTAAAATGAAGTATACACAGCAGATTCTTTTGGCTAGTTTACAGAGCTTTCATCAATAGGCAGATTATGACCCGGGTTAGATTAACGAAAATCTTAATTCCCAAGTACTTAACGGAATCCGTGCAACAGGCTGCTACTGAATGCAAGTAAGAGTCAGAATGTGACCTACTATAGAGGTTTTTTAAAATTAAATATAGGAAATGAATTAGTTTAATGAATAGTTCTATTTTTATATAGCGTATTTTTTTTCTTTTAATATTCTACATCAGACTGCTGCTGTTCTTTTGCAGGAAATGTCTAGGCATTTGACAGTCCATAATGCACAAGTGCAATAATTTTCAGAAGACAAAGGAGTTGAACTGCACAACTTTAATCCTCGTTTTAGGAGTATGTAAAATAGATATGCAATAAGTCAATGTTCTTAATTTTCATGAAAAAAGAAGTGTGCTTTGATGAAAAATGGACTGCTACCTTAAATATTTTAGCACTATATTTTTAATGGAAAAAAAAACCTGCATGGTGAGGGAATATATCATAACAAAAGCATAAGAAATGTCCAGGGACATAAGAAATGTCCTTTATAGGCCCTTTCATATTTAAGATTCACAATTTTGTCTAAATAGCTTCAGTATGTTCACATACTTGAGTCTCCCTATTTGATTCCATCAGAGAAATTTTCCTGTATCTCACTGCACTGAATTTTTTTTTGCTGCAAGTAAAGCTAGTGGAAAATCTCAGGTGAAAAGTTAAGCACTAAATAAATTATCTGCCCTAAAGACCTGAGTGAACTCCATTAAAATCAGTCAAAAAAAACACTATAAATTTCAATCAGTTGGACAGGATCCTTACTCAGTGGGTAACAGCAACAACCCAACATCTTTATTCCCTAGTTAAGGCAAAAACTTTGATCTTCACAACAATAAAGTTTCTCATTTCAGATGCACCAGAGGTTTGCATCTCAAAGGTACTGGCATTGCAGTCCAAGCCGGCAAAAACCTAGGTTTCTACATTGGTAATACTTAGGCTCAGAACATTTTTATGCAGAATACATGCTATGGAAAGATGGGATACAAATTTTAACAGGGATTATTTTTTTCCTTCAAAAGAACATTTGCGCTGTGAAGTTTGAGCACAAATTCTTGCCAAAAATGTGGCCTTATCTTTTGAACCTTCTCCAGTTCTTGTCCACGTAGGTATTTAGAAAAATAAAATAAAATTGTTGACACTCGTGTTCTGTCCAAACATGACATTTCAGCTGGAATCAGTTGTGATAATACACGATGCAATGCACTTACTCTCATTCTTGGCTTGTGTATTTCTTCAAGGTATAGCTGCACTCAACCTTTCCTGAGTAATTTTTTCGCAAAAAGTATACATTTACACAGAATGGTAACAGGTAACATGCAGCAGGCCTTCCAGTATGTTTTTCAGAGGGGTCAGGAGTATCGGAGTTTCTGTCTAATTATCCATCAGAATGAAGGATACCAAAACAATTTTGCATTGAAGCTAAAATTCTACCCAATTTGGTACTACTTCAAACAACCACAAGTAATGCAACTAAAGGTACTGATTTTTTTTCCCCTCAGTGGAATGAAGAAGTGACTTTTTTTGTATGCATTTGGAGTATTACTGTCTTTGCATATCAGGTACTAAATTTGGAGATGCATTTTAACTTTATTACCCTTTTTAAAAGAGGCATTTTGAAAGTAATTGTATCCATTAACTAGAAAATAAAGTTGTGCATACTGAAAAAGTACTATATGCACCTGCATTTTCTTAAAATTCTTCTCTTTGTGCATTGGTATGACGTGGAAATGCACTTTGCACAGATCAGTGTCTATTTTCCCTTGGCTCTGCCTCTCAACAAACAGAAGAAACAAATGCCAAACCTGCTCTCTCCACCTTTGGAGATAAGACAAGAAACTAAGAGGCTTAAAAGGACTGTTTTGTGAAGTCAGGGCTACAAAAGATAATGGAGAAATTTTTGTGTCAGGACACGAGGTCCCCATCCTGAGGACCTTCAGTAGGATGCTGACCAGCCTGGAGTGTTTGGAGTTGTCCCAGCTTTAGTTATGAGGTACTATTTGGGACTGAGGGCCTTTTCAGCCCTATAGCCTGGGATTTCATTATTTGTATATTCTTTCCGTGCTCTACACATTCTTTACGTGGTATTTTCAAACCCCTAACTTTATGGAAATTTGGAATGCAGTCTCTGGGGCAGGACACTCTTCCTATGAAGCTTCAGTGCATACTGGAGGTCCACTGTTCTGTCGAGCCACTTTAAGTTTTTATAAACCTGGTTAAAGGATTGCTCCAGTTTTAAGCCATTTATCACTCCCATGGAGATGTCAGCCAGCAGCTGGAGCCCGGCGCAGTTTCAGACGTGTTTAATTCATTAGAAACCCACTGTTCTGGCACTCCTTCCCACCAAGCTCCCAGGCAGGGCTCCCGAACTGCCTCATTTTGCCTTTCCACCCCTCCCGGAGGCGGCCCAGGGCCGTGTTTCGCCACAGAGCGCCGAGGCGGGCAGAGCCGTGCGGAGCCGGCCGCCCCCAGCCCCGCCATATCCCCCCCCCTCTCCTCCCTTCCCCTCACAGCCCCCCAACATGGCGCCCACCCCCTCTCCCCCTCCCCTCCCTCACCGCGCACGCGCGGCATGCCCGGCACTACAACTCCCAGCATGCCCCGCTCCGCCACCATCCCATCAGCCACCGCGGCACCACCCCCTCCCCCCTCTCCTCCCCCTCCCCCGGTAACGGAGCCCCGGTGCCGCCCCCCCCTCCCCGCCCCCCCCCGCGTGCTCCCAGCCCTCGCTTCCGCTTCCGGCCTCGCCCTTCCGCTCCCAGAGCGCCCCGCGCCGCGCCATGGCCCACACTGGTGAGGAGCCGGCGGCGCGGCCTCGGCGCCTCCCGCGCGGCCTCGGGGCCCCCCCGCGCCCCTCAGGGACCCCCCCGGCCTCGGGATGCGGCCCTCGCGCTGCAGGCGGGCAGCGAGCGGCCTCCGCCGGGCCTTGGGGCCGGGGGGGCGGGAGCGTGCGGCCTGCGCTGAGGGAGCCCGGCCCGGGGGAGGGGTGCGGGCGGCGCGGGGAGGGAGCGGGGGGGGAATGAGGGGGCAATGAGGAGCCATTCCTGTCAGAAAGAGCAGTCAGGCACTGGGACGGGTTGCCCAGGGAGGTGGTGGAGTCACCGTCCCTGGGGGTGTTCAAGGAGAGGTTGGACGTGGTGCTTGGGGACATGGGTTAGTGGTGGCACTGGTGGCAGGGGGTGGTTGGACCAGGTGATCTGGGAGGGCTTCAACCTTAATCGTTCTCTGACTCTGTGATTTTAAGAACCCCTGGGATTCAAAAATATAAGCAAAGCTCGTGAAGGTGATACTCTCGGCTTCTGTTGCATCTTCTCCAAGTAGTTAAATGCTTCAGGTTCTTTCTGGGGGTGGGGCTTCTTCATTTCGGGCCCTTTTTTGTTGTTGTTTCGGTCGGGGCTTAATCCTGCTGGGTTTGCGTGCTCAGACTGGAGTCTGTTCTCTTCCTGTAAATACGAGTGACTAAAACTTGCTCGTTTGGTTCAGCCAGTCTCTAAGCCGGGTAAATATCCCGAGCTCGCAAAGCTCTTGGGAAGTGTCAGAGTGTAACTGCTTCCTATGGCAGGTCGGTGGAGCGTGTGAAGTTTTGTCTCAAGATCTGTTGTAGTTAACCATATTTGCTGAGGTCTTTGTGGACTTTTTTGGTCTGTAGTGGAGTCTTTGTATAATATAGTGAAAAACAGATCTTCCCAGCAAGTGGAATAGAGGCAGCTTCAGCATTTAGCATTGCCTTTGATGTGCTGGCCTCTCTCCCCATAAACATGGTGCCTGAGTTTGCTTGCAGGGCCACCTGTCCAGCCAACAGGACAGTCTGAAAAAAGCAAATGAACAGATATAAGACCAGGTTTTGTCATTTTTTTTGTTGTCTTTGCTGGTTTGTGTGATGCCTTTTGGGGTGAAGCAGTGTTACAGGAAATCAGGAAGTTTTATCTAACTCAGAAAACCAGGGGCTCTCCATGCTGAGGTACAGTGACTGTCTGGGTAGAGTCCTAATGTGAAACTTTGTTGCAGTTCCTAATTCTGGTGTTAGGTGCTGAATGATTTATAGCAAGACCTCACACCCCAACAGCTTGTGGCACAGCTCGGAGGTGCACTGCATCCCCCCTGAAACGTTTCCAGCCTCTGATGTGAAGTCCTCTCATGACAGACCAGAAATGACAGCAACGTTAAATATTTATGTCTTCACTTCTCCAGTTAAAAGCATGGACAGGGCTTCAGTCTGAAAGCTGTGAATAAAAACACCCAAATCACATCCCCGAAAATGCTGGCATGTGCACGAGGCTTCCAAATGAAGCTCTCGGGAGGTTTGGTTTCAAAATGTGAATTTCACTGCTGGTGTTCCTTAGATGTATACCCACCTAGTTCCTCTAGTGGGTAAAAGATGTAAAGGCTTCTGGATAGGAGTCAAATAATGTTTTTTATTTTTTTTTATTTTTTTATTTTTTTTAGAACTTCAACCCTTTTTTGTAAAAGGCTGGTGGGGATGCGTGTTGACAAGATTTTCAATTAGAAAGGAAGTGAGCCGGGCAGATCTGTGAAGGCTGTAATTCAGTTTTGGTGGAAATGAGGAGCTGTGTGGTGGGTTAAGGCAGATGTACTGGGAGCTGGGGTAGTTTGTGCCTTGTACCCCCTTCCTTGGAGTTGCTTGTTGCTTTGTCACCACCACACTCTCATGGAGTCCGCGTGTGCTGAGGCATGAGTCAGACAATTTCTGGCTTCCTTTGCCCTGGTACTCGGCTTTAAATCTGGTTAATGAGAATTTGGTAGCAGAGAGCAGTCAGTTTTGCTTTAGCAAGGATACTTCTGCGTACCCTCAGCACCAGTATTTCTGTGATTCTTTATGCCAAACCTCTCAGTGATGTGTCGAGGTGCTGTGAGTTGATGTGGAGAGTGGTTTCCTTCCTACTTGTTCAGTAAACAGTTCACATAAACTGTAAAAATGCTTTCTTGTAAGAAACTCCATGCTATTAAGGTTATGCAAAGAATTGGCTCTTCAGTACTGCTCATGCTGTGATAAGAGCTGTACAGTTAACCTTTTTTTCTGCTGTGCAAAAATGACAGACTAGGTTTTGTTTTTTTTAATAACTTAGTTTCTAGAGGTAAATTTCCTAAAACCGTGGTTGTTTTGAAAACAATTTTGTGACCCAACATCTAGAAGAAATTGCATGTGACTATTTTCTAGTTATTAAACTTTGGTATGTTGTATAAGCAGTCCTTAAAATTATTTTTTCTTAGAACAGTTCTTTTAATATTTAGCCTTTTCAGATGCTATTTAATAGCTGCGAAATAACAACCTTTTCTTGTTTCACAGACAATGATTTGCAAGGAACAAATAGTTCAGGATCATTGGGTGGTCTTGATGTTCGTAGAAGAATTCCTATAAAGCTGATCTCAAAGCAGACCAATAAAGCCAAACCTGCACCTCGGGCTCCCAGAAATATGAACAGGATGCCTTCCAAGACTCAAGCTGGTGATGAAGGTAAGTAAATGCTCCAACCACCAGCCCTGTAGGAAGGAAGCATGTTATTCTGCAGCTTTGTTCAAGACTTCAGTCATTTCTGGGGACTTAGAATCAGAAGTTCTGTACACTGCAAAGCAAGTTTCACGTTTCCAGGTACTGCGGTGCTATAAGGCATAAATGATGCCAATTCCCAAAGTGATTTTTTGCTGTTCTCATTGTACCTGCTTGCAGAATGGGCCCAGCAGGCTGGGAATGTCGAGGCCTTTCTTGATTATTTCAGTACACAATGATGCATGCCCTTAACAGCAGCTGGTGTCAGCCGGGGAGGTGTTGTAGCTGGCTTGTCTTCTCCTCTTTTCTTCTTTCCACAGAAGAATTTGATTATAACGAAGAGGAGCGGTACGAATGCAAAGGAGGTGAAATGTTTGGAAATCAGAGGAGGTTCCCTGGACCCATTTTCTGGGACTATAAGGTACAGTCATGGGTGGAAAATTATGGATCTTTTTCTGTGAATACTTTTTAAAATAACAGTGCTTCCCTTACTAAAATTTTATTCTCTGCTTTCTCATGTTTGTGGGGTTCTTGCTGCATTCTCAGCTAATACAGAAGTAATGAGCTGATCGATGATGATTGAAATAAGCAGCTTTAGTGATTTTTCTCCCTACCTCTCTCTCTCTTCTACCAGATTAACTTGCTGGGGGAGAAGGACGATACGCCCGTCCACTTCTGCGATAAGTGTGGATTGCCCATCAAAACCTATGGGCGCATGGTGAGTGAAACTACCAGGGGAAGCAGCAGCCGTGGTTTCCCTTTAGGTACAATCAGGTCTTGCTGTATCACTGCGAAGCCTCTAGAGATGGTTTATTCAGAGGTCTGCTGAAATCAGCAGCAGAATATCAGGATGGAACCAGGGCCTTAATTGCTGAAATGTTTTGTTCTGGCTGAGTTTACTTTGCTCCTTGATTTAGTAAAGCAAGCTTGAAAGTATTAAAATGAAAAGCTTTAAAACGAACAACAACCCCAAAATAGGAGCAAAAGTCTTTCAAGTTCAGTGCTTTTCAGTCTTGTACCACTTGGCTTTAAAAGTAAGCTTTTTATGTCCCTGGGTGATTTACAGCCAAGTTAGAAAACACTTTTATGTCTTTAAAACTAGTGTAACTAATTCCCTGAGATTTAGATTTCTGTGTGATGTAGCAGACCGAGGGCTCTGACCTGATGATTGTTGGTGATTGATGATGCTTTTAAAACATTTCCTGCATGCACATAAGGCAAGTGTAATTAGACTGCATATACAGTTTCTGTAAAGGTTCAATATTACTGGAAAACTTTAATTTTTTACCTATACTTTTTGCCAACTTTTTTTAAAAAAACAAACAAAACAACAAAACTAAAACCTTGCTTTCCCAAGCCCCAAACTCACTGTTTTTCAACTGTTCTATTTAAAGTAGACTGCTAACTGCTACATCGTATCTGTTTGTTTCATGAGTAACTTAAGTGCTTCTATTCTTAGGAATTGTGTGCTGTGGAATGATGCATCTTGTGTTGACAGAGCCTTTTTTTCTTCCAGATACCTTGCAAGCATGTTTTCTGCTATGACTGTGCTATACTACATGAGAAAAAGGGAGACAAGATGTGTCCGGGGTAAGTTCTCTTGAAATTTGTTCTTAAAGGAAATGTAGGAGAGAAAATTAAATGCCTCATTTCGGATAATGTATTAACGTGTTTCTTATTTATGTACATTTAGGAGAGCAGAGTACTCTTACTGCACCACTTGATTATAGCTTTATATCTCACAGTTAATAGAGTGTAAAAGATTAATGTTTACGTTGCTGTTTAAATATCTGTGTAGATAAAGTGTAATTGCTCGAGTTTGAAAAGGAGCAAGAAGCTGTTTAATTACTGAGTGTGACCCTGGGTAAGTACTAAAATGCCAAGGGAATTTGTGGCAGAGGGTGACGCTATGTCTAAATTTCTACCCCATGAAATTTTTGTTATTTTATAGTTGTATTTGGAGGCTTACAAGTTAGTTTAACTTCAAAATCAACAAAACATTTTTCATTGTTACAGTGGGGGGGGAAATGTGATATCTAATTTGAATAATTTTGGTAAAATGGTTGGTGTTTAACGACAGCAACGACAAAAACTTGCAGATTATTCTCTCTGTGATGACAGTAAACTAATTTTTTCTTCCTTCAGCTGTAACGAACCTGTGCAGCGCATCGAGCAGTGCGTACGAGGGTCTCTCTTCATGTGTAGCATTGTCCAAGGGTGCAAGAGAACTTACCTGTCACAGAGGGACCTACAAGCTCACATCAACCACCGCCATATGAGGGCCGGAAAGCCCGTTACTCGCCCTCCGCTTGAGCCCGTTCACCCTCCGATTGCCCCACCACCTGCTGAAATTCCTGAGCGCTTCATAATGCCGCCTGAGAAACACCACATGAGCCACATCCCACCGAAGCAGCACATCATGATGCCCCCGCCTCCTCTGCAGCACGTGCCCCACGAGCATTACAACCAGCCCCACGAAGACATCCGTGCTCCTCCAGCGGAGATGGCCATGGCTCCGCCGCCGCCTCGCCCGGTCAGTCAGGACACCTTCCGCATCTCCACCAGGAAACACAGCAACCTGATAACTGTTCCCATTCAGGATGATTCCAGTTCGGGGGCTCGAGAACCACCTCCTCCGGCCCCGGCACCCGCTCACCATCACCCCGAGTACCAGGGGCAGCCCGTGGTAACGCACCCTCACCACATCATGCCTCCGCAGCAGCATTACGCGCCGCCCCCCCCACCGCCTCCTCCGATAAGCCACCCTTTGCAGCATCCCCCCCAGGCAGCGGGCACCCCTCACATGGTGTACAGCCAAGCTCCTCCGCCGCCAATGACCTCTGCTCCTCCTCCCATCACCCCGCCGCCTGGACATATAATTGCCCAGATGCCACCCTACATGAATCATCCTCCTCCGGGACCTCCCCCTCCTCAGCACGGAGGCCCCCCCGTAAACGTAAGCGCGCCCCCTCCCCACCACTACAACCCTAACTCTTTGCCACAGTTCAGTGAAGACCAAGGAACTCTTAGCCCCCCCTTCACGCAGCCAGGGGGGATGAGTCCAGGGATTTGGCCAGCTCCACGAGGGCCGCCTCCACCGCCGAGAATGCAAGGGCCTCCTGCTCAGGCCCCTCTTCCTGGACCGCACCACCCTGATCAAGCCAGATACAGACCCTATTACCAATGATAACGAGCAGTTACATGAATAGAGAGTGCTATGAAGAGGATAAAACTATATACAACAGCCTTTTAATTAATTGTCGGGGAGGGGGGGTTGTTTTTTTTAAATACTGTCATTTTGACTGTAAGACGTTTTGGGGTTTGGATCTTTAATGATTTTTAAGCCTTGGATGTAGGACTCTGACTTCAGATACTCTGTAGTGCTAAAATAAGTGGCTTAGTAGACCACAGTTGCATTTTAACAGAACTTCTGTCTATAGTGTGGCTAAATTGTCCTTAAGATGAACGCTTGTAATATTACTTCCTGGAGAAAAAGAACACGTGTTGTACCATTCTGAATATTGTTTTTGTTAAATCCAATGTTTAGTTTCACTTGTGATACATTTTTGTTAACCTGTGTACAATGATTAAATTGAAACATGGTTGTAAAAGTGGTGGGTTTTTATGTGAAGTTAACACAGACACGGTTCCAGGGCACCGTTTTGGCACTGATGCTATCCAAGTGGGAAACATAAGGGGCAATACTAAGGAAACTGATATTTTTACTAACATTTACTGTTAATTTCAATGCATTCAGGCTACGGTGAATTCATGACACGAGAAGTCAGACACCCAAACACTGTATTTCAGGTTTGTTTTAGTTTCTTTTTTTTTGTCTTTTTTAATTTGTGCGGTATCAAGACCAAGATAAATTTACCAGAAATGCAGCTTTGGGCGTGACACAAAAGCGGGTTATGATGTTACGGGTGTGGGTGGTGGTTTTGGGGCTGGTTTTGTTTGAGAAGATTCTGTTTACATGTACACTCCTCAGTGGTGTGAATTCAAACTATTTTGTTTACTTACGGTTACGTTTGTGTGGAAGTGGCCGTGAACTGGCTTGCCATGTCTGAGAGAAGCAGATTGCTTTTGGTCGTGAAGTGGCATTTACCTCCATCACTATATAATACATACAGTTGGAAAACTTCCCATTTGGTAACATGAAAGAAGGGGTCTGAAATCCCTCATGTAGATATGAAAAAAATAATAAAAGCTACACACCTTTTATCTGTTTCAATTTTTGTGCTACATCCTTAATCGGACAGTTAAGAGTCCTATATTTTATTTTATTTTTTTAATAAAGGTGGCAATATAGGCAGGCCCTGGGGGCTGTTCTGGCCCCAGATTTAGGTTTTATAAGCATGCTCTTAAATATAAGATGTGAATGTTCTCTTTAAGTGCAGCTGGTAACTGAGCCAGACACTGATAAGACGGTTTTGAATGTTTGCCTTTGTGTTTCTAATCAATGTTAGTGCTGAGCCTTTTTTGCTTTTTCTCCAAAATGTCACGTTTCTAGTAGTGGTGATTTTAGATGAAGAAATCCTGCCTATTCTTTTTTTAAGGTTTGTAATTTCCTACTGAAAATCTGAATTCTCTTTAAAACCTCACTCTATTTTGTAACTTTTTTTTCCTGCCTCATAATTGTTTAGTTTATCGAAGAGCTCTGGCAGTACAACATTCCAAATTTTGTAGTTCTGTGTCAACCGTGTATTTTTTAAATTACCTGAGCAAGTGTTCTCTAAATCTGCTCTGTCCTTGACTGCCATTGATTTCTTTGTGGCAACGGGCAAATCTTTTGCTCTACCTTTCAAACAAATGCAGCTGTGTGACAGCTCTTTGGAGATGTGCAAATAAATTCTGGGATGGACAGTAAATTCTGGGGTGTGCAAATGGCTGGTATGTGTCAGCTGGCAGAAAGTCTGCTCAGCTGTGGTGTGCCTGTTTCGAAGACAGAGTTCTTTGGTTTGGTTTCTCTGCGGAATAAGTCATTTTAAATAAAACACTGGCAAAGAAAAAAGGTTGGTTGTGGTGTTGTGCTGTGGTACATGGCAGGATGACGATTGAGTGCTTCAGTGTTCGTGAAGGAGAAAATGATGGCCAGCAGTGTTTTGTTTCCGTAATTTATAATAAATACGTGAGGAACCTTTAAACTCTCCCTTTTCTCATTGCTAGTAGGAGGTTGTTTTGGGCAGATTTGTGTTACAGAATGTAACTTCATTGCAGAGGAAATCCACATGTCTGAAGTGACTGATGCTCCTTGACTCCGGAAAGCCAAGCTGACGGCTGGCAGACCTTTTCTGGAGAGACTTACCGATGGCTTTTGGCACCGGCTGCATTTTGTTTGTGCTGCGAGATTTACTCGGGTACCATGTGGCACGCTGCTGTGCAGGGGTATACCACAACAGCGGTGTGCCAGCATCACCAACGTGCTCTGTTTTGTAAAGTAAGGCTCTCTGAAATCAGCTGTTCACCCTCAAATATGGTGCTGACAAAGTAACCCAACTCTCTTCATCATGCTAGTTTTTAGAAATAAATCAGATTATGGATTTTTGTTAAAGATTACCTAGTCTGTTGCAAAGCAGATGAAGGTTTCATACCTGTGTCCATTGCTGCATTTTTTTAAGCTATTTTTGAAGCTCTTCTCTGAAAATCCTGGGACAATTTAACTTTAGTTGGTTAAGGGACAAGAGCAGCCCTTGCTCCATCAAAAAGCACAGAAGACAAATATATGTCAGTGTAGAAACTGAGAATTTGGGGGTTTTGTTGATATTTGAGGCAAAGTTGATGTTGTGATTGCTGTATAATGACCCCAAAGTATTACTGAATTTTATTACACCAGAAGTTAATGGGATCCCTTGAATCGTTTAATGGATCAAAAGTCTTTGTGACTGAGAAGTTGCTGAAAAGTCATCTCCTGTGGAAAGGATTTGGACTTGGGTCAAACTTCTGTGTATTGCTTGGATTGGAAGACCTAAATGTGTTTTACATTTTTAAGTTTACCTATAAAGGGTAACATTGATACTCTCGTATTTACAAAATTAAAACATTCTTTCATTGGTTGAAATGTTACATTGACAATCATCTTTGTTTATGTTTTTCTTTGGAGTTTTTATTTTATTTTTAAGACCCTGGTAATTTCAGTGTGAAGTTCAGCAATGCCATATATTGTATTTCCCTGTATCATTAAGGGTCTTTGAGATGGTGAGAAGTACTTTTTGAATTCTTTGCATTCCTAGTTGGGTCTTCCTTTAAAGACAGCCACTGAATCGAGCCGGTTTTATGCTGAACGTTTATCCCTGCCAGTGGCAGCGATCTCCCTCCTGAGGCATTGCCAAGCAGATCTCCGGTTTTAAGAGACCTCTGACAACATTAAAATGTTTGCTATCATGAGATCCTCCAACGGGGCCATTTAAGGGAATGAAAAAGAGTTTGATGATAGTTTGTGTTCACAACGGAATTAATTAGAGGACACAAACGGATGGCCTGGAGACATCCGTGGTTTCAAATTTATCTTCAGTTCCATCTCTAATTTTGCTTACAGGATCTCCTGCAACCGTGCGTGCTTCATGACAAGCAGCTAATTGCATGAATGCTTCTTTCTTCAGGTTTTGAGAATGCTATGAGCATAAAGATTGGGTGCTTGATGTGGCGAGTGCCATTTAAGTGCCGTTTTTCATGTTTGTTTAAAAAAGAAAAAATGTCTTAGATCTAATCTGGGAGAGTTGGAAGCCCATAGCGGATGGAGTGTCCACTCCTTTGTGGTCATGGCTCTCGAGGGAGAGTCAAATTCAGATTGTTAGAAAATAAGTGGAAGTAATTTGTATTAATTTCATGCTGGAGTTTGCAGACATGGAGTAAATGGAGCAAACCGGTCTGTCTTCTGTGTTATGTGAAGTCAGGTGCTCTCAGAAACAGAATTGTGGTTACATTTTCTCTGTGCATCAAGTCAGAGCACACCTCTCTCTTCCTAAAATGCTTCCTGCTCTGTAAAACTCGGGTCTGATTTTGTTCGTTTTCATCTTGACTCTACATTTCTAAAGGACATATCAGTATTACACAGGTTGTATTTTCAGTGTTTTTTACTTGATGTTAACAACAATTCCTAGCAACAGTGAATTCATCTCTGTATGGAAATGGTGCCCTCAACTGGTTCTGCACTGTGCTCAGGTATGTTATATTCACAGATAGTTCATACTGAGTGGTTTGTAAACCAAAATAGCTGCGTTTCTTTGGGCAACATGAATGAGAATAATGAAGATTAAAGCTCCTCTTAGTCTTGACTTAGCCACAAGACACTGTGACTTCAGAAGCTTTTCCTACTCTGAATTGTATTTGCTTTTTCTCTGACTATTGTTTTTATTATTTATTTTTTTTTCCAGTTTTGATTTGGTTTCTGAGTGTAAGAGATTAGCAGAGATTAAAAGATTAAAAAATCCAGCATGCTTCCTGAAAGATGTGGGTGGAATAGCAGCAGGAAGCTGTTAGATCGGGTCCAAAGAAGGGCGACGAAGCTGGTGAGGGGCCTGGAGAACAAGTCCTACGAGGAGCGGCTGAGGGAGCTGGGCTTGTTCAGCCTGGAGAAGAGGAGGCTCAGGGGTGACCTTATTGCTCTCTACAGATACCTTAAAGGAGGCTGTAGCGAGGTGGGGGTTGGCCTGTTCTCCCACGTGCCTGGTGACAGGACGAGGGGGAATGGGCTAAAGTTGCACCAGGGGAGTTTTAGGTTAGATGTTAGGAAGAATTTCTTTACTGAAAGGGTTGTTAGGCACTGGAACAGGCTGCCCAGGGAGGTGGTGGAGTCACCATCCCTGGAAGTTTAAAAACCTTCAAAAGACGTTTAGATGTAGAGCTTAGGGATATGGTTTAGTGGGGACTGTTAGTGTTAGGTTAGAGGTTGGACTCGATGATCTTGAGGTCTCTTCCAACCTAGAAATTCTGTGATTCTGTGATTGGCTCAGTCGTCCTGATGCTGTTATCAGTGAGTGCTAACAGGACTTAGAAGTGTAACACGCTTCTGGTAATGGAAAGGGGGATCATTTCCATTCACACACAGGCAGGAATGCTTCCACTTCTGTATGCTGGTGTATTGCAGTAAAACTGCAATTTAAATGATTAAAGCCAAAGAACAAGAAAAATGATTTTAAATAGACGTGAAAACATTCCAGTCTGCCGTGTTTTATTCAGTTTTGTTTGTGAAAACCAGTGCCTGAACACAGCTCCAAAATCACAGTGAATGATTTCCTACACTAAATCAAATTACCTGAGTGCTAATGAGAGCTCCTGCACTTGTTCCTTGCCATTTCTGGGTCAGGTAAACTTTCAGGCATTTTCTTAGGAAGTGTAGAGGAGCAGCTATAGAAAGAGGAGCGCAAGAAGCAAGCCGTCTGCGTTTGGCACAGGGATGAGGAATGGAGAGGTGTAATTGATGTTTCTCTTCTAGTAGTATTTACAGACACTTTTCCCTGTTTCCAAACTATGAACTTAGTTAGAAATAGAAAAGAAATATGGGCTCACATGTTATAAAACTCTCTCCGTTGGTCCCCAGACCTCAAATAACTGAATCACTTTGATTTTTGGTTTTGTTTCCATGTCTCACACCATCTCTTCTGCATTACAAAGTGAAAACCAGGCCTGAGAGTAGCCTTGAGCATCTCAGGCTCTTTGGCATCCTACGGCAGAGGAAGACTCTGTGCTGCAGTCTGCGTGAGGGTAAACTAACAAGAGAAACATTAGTGGTACAAGAGAAACAGAAAGTTGAATGCAGAAATAACCAGGAAAAACAAACAAACAAACAACAACAACACATAAATCACCAGAAATCACACAAAACATCAGAAATACAGCGCTGTTGTCAGCACAGGAAATGAGCAGGGTGGTTAAGAAGATGCCAAGTATTAGGAACAAGTGAGGTGGGAGTGCAAGGCGCTCTGGTTAAGGCTGTCTGGGTCTTGCATTCGTTTTAGAAACGGTGAATAGTTTTGGAAAGTGAAATTATGCTCTGTTGAATCCTGCTTTTATATCTGGTAGAAATCAGGTGGCTTGATTTCTGAGCTAGTTTTGTCAAGATACCTGGGTAACAAGTGAAGCACACTATGACATTTTGATTTTCCCAGTTGTTTGCATAGCGCACAGGGCATTGTGCTACATCAGGAGAGTGATTAGTTTTAAAACTAATTGTTTGGAGGAGTGCAACTGAGAACATTTTTTTCTTAGGCTGAGGCCTGTCAGTACACCCAATGGGTTTTGAAGAGAAATATGTGGTGTCTGGTGTCTTACTTACCCTTTTCTTGCTTCCACCAGGCTGACTTGCCTATGCTAGTAATGTGTGTCCAAGTCTGTGTCAGTGCACGATGGGTTTTTTTGTTAATCTTACATGGCTTTTCTCCTCTCCTGGTTTAAATCCCTGATGTATCTATAACTCTTCTTGTCAGCCACTGAATACAGACTTTTCATTCCACAAGATCCTCGTAGCTCTTCTCTTTAGTTGCAGTTGTCTTTCTTGAACAGGCAGGCTCACTGTGAGCATTCAGAGTGAAATCTCATCCATGCACTGTGCAGCAGCACTAGCAGCTCTCTTATTCTGCTGGAGAAACAAATCTGCTCTGATACAATCTATGGTTTTTTGAAGGTTGCATTAGAAAAGCAGCTGAGCGACATTCTGACCTCAGTCTTCAAGGTCTCCTCTTTCTTTTTGCATTCAAAAGCTTCTCAGTTTAATATTATCTTCCAGTTGCATTTGGAGCCTCCTCATTTTAATGTTATCTTCCAGCTTGGTTTTATTAGCAGATTTCGTCAGATAACTCCAGACTTTTGTAACAAACAATTAATGCAAATATTTAACACATCAATCCTTCCTCCACCCCAGTACTTCTATGTCAAAGCTCCTACTCGTCATCTCCTCTTTAGTATAATCCATCTTCTCCTTTCAGTGCCTTTTCTTACCCCATCTTCTCCAACCACATTAACTCTTGCCCACGTGGCTCTGCAAGGAAGGTTTTGCTCAGGTCTAGAGAGATGAAATCTATGGCATTTCCCTTTGGGAGCTCTGTTTGCTAACTGGAGGTTATGTGAGCTATGGTGGTTAGGTGAGTGTGGCATGCATACATCTACCTTTTACAAAAGTACGCCACATTTCTTCCCACTTATTCCTGTCTGGTTTTCCTCCAAATTTTGTTCTGAAGTCTTGCATACTACTGAGATAAAAATCATGGTTCTTGTTTACCCAGAACACTTTTTCCTTCCCTCCTTTCCTTCCCTGCCTGGCAGCTCCATACCCACAGCTCCCAAGCTGAGTTTTGGGGCCATTGTGTGCTGTTTCCTGGGGCACACACATAACGGGGCTGCCTGTCACGCCAACAGGAAGGTGAAAAGCCTTCCACGAGAAGGCTGCCGTGCTCCCTGCCTAGAGTCACGGCTGCTATTTCTTAGTAGCTGCATCACCTCGAGCTCTTTGCTGCTGTCAGCTGAAGTGAGGTAGCTGGGATGCATTTAACAAGGAAGAGTGGTTCACCGGGGGATTCACTGCAGCTCTTCTTGGTGTGCAAATGGACCCAAACAAAACTGAATTAGAAAACTTTTTCCTTTCAGTTTTCAATCGCTGTCAATTTCTGTGCTTCAGCAGGAAATCAGACTGATTTCAAGCTACCTCGGTGGTGTATTGACAAATGCAGCAAGCGATGAAGTGCTACCAAAATCATCATTTTCTAGTTCACTGTAAATATGTCCTGTCTTGTGTGTTTTATAGCACCCCAAAGTGAATCAATAAATTGTGTTTGGATCTGAAAATGCTGTGTGTCTTTACGGAGCCGTTTTCATATTTCACAGTAGGTACGGTAGTCACTTTGTGTACTATACATGCAGTAGTGAGCTGAAAATAAGTTTAATAACCCAATCTACCAGGTATCTTGTAAACCATAATGAAAACTATATACAAGTTATATACAAGCTGGAGATAAAATCTCTCTCTCAACTATTAGACTGTTATAAATTACAAGATTTCAAATATTTATATATTCTCTAGTAACTGTACAAGCTGTCTACAAACTGTCAGAGTAACATAGATGTATGTACAAGTATATGCAAATAGGGCTAACATTACTTGCTTCTTCAGCTGCGTGGGTAGGTTGTCAGCAGGGTATGAAATAGGAAAATCCAGGTGATTATAGCCTCCACGTATGTACATAAATACATCTCTATATTTACAGAGACACGTAAAGACTAACGAGCCCATTCCAGAACTTGGACCATAATCATGTGAAGTAAATCCCTCTTAGGGTATATGAAAGCGTCCATCAGTCTTTGTGTTCCTCGCTGCATCTGTATTCATCTTCTGTAAGTGATGCTGTGCTGCTGGAGGATATTCTACTTACAAAACTGAATCTAAAATTTTGTTTCTGCTGGATTCTGTAGGAAAAGAAATAGAAATAAATGTCACCTACGGAAGGAATATCTGGGGAAGGTAATCTCTGGTGAGTAATGTAAGAACTTGCTACTCTAAAGCATTTGTGTGGGCAGGCTGCTGTTTAACATCTTTACCATCTTTTCTTTACAGCACTGCTGTGTTCGGGATGCTGCCCTCTTCTTTGTCACAGGTCAGTGACGAGAGGCTGTGTCCCTTTCCTATCCCTGCCTCCAAATTCTCCTTCTGCCCGTGACGTGCAGATAAAAGGGGCTAGTGATGAAGTCTCTGCCACGTGGACACTCCACCAGAGGCGTGTGAGCTCCTTGCAGGAGAACTATGGTGGAAGCACGAGGAGACCAGTGGTGATGGCCTTCACCCGTCTTCCCTCTGCAGGCCATCAAGGCATGGCAGGGATCAAATCCCATTAATAAACTGTGTGCTTTCTGCCGCGGGCTGACACAAGAGCTGTGTGATGAAGATGTGTTTGTGATCTAACCTAGTGGTTCCTGTGAGGTTGGAGAGGCACTGCTGGGAACAGGAGGCTTACCGTGTTCTCCCGGCTGCGTAGCCCATTGCTGGTATTGATGATATAGTCTTTGCTGGTACCCTTCTGCAATGAACACATGAAATTTTGGGTCAGGAAATGGATTGTTTCCTTTTTTCCTGCTCTCAGGGAGGAGCTGTGCCCTGCCAGACCCACCACGTGTGACCCCTTTTCCTAAGGAGGTGGCTTCAAGAGAAGTTCGTGGCCAGGCCAGTCTCTGGTGGGAATTACTGCTCCCACTGATGGCTCGCTAGCACCTGGACCAAGAGCCACTCTCACTCTCCCAATTTATCAGAGACCAGCAGAATTTTAATCATTAACGTTTTGAATACAGACATGGTATAGGGCCTACGGCTGGATAGGCAGAGCACTGCACAAAGTAGGGTGATTGTGGGCAAGGTAAAGGGACAAAAGTAGTAAAAGAGGAAAACTGTAGTGTTACCTCAGTGAGCTTTAATTTGGGGGCTGTATCCTTCTTCAGCAAGATGTGTAAAACTGCATCATGAATGGAGAGGAAAAACATGGACGGCTTAATCTCCTCATCAAAAAACTCACACCTCTCCAGCTTCTCCAGGAAGCCCTCTGCAGGGGAACAAAAACAAAGTGTAAAAGTCACCTGCAGGCCTTGAAAATGAAGTATCCTTCACATGTCCACTGAGTGAATGCAGGGCTATCTGACAAAATGCATGGTTTCATTTATTAGAGCAGACATTAGCGACGTGGAGAGGGTGGGACACCAACCCCATCGGCCCTGCCCTGCTTGATGCTGGGCAGGAGGGAAGAGGGGCCCTGGCTCTCATTTAACCCAGGCTGCCCAAGATAGGGGCAGCATGGAGATGGAGCCAGTCGTTATCCAGCTCTGGGAGGTAAAACTGGGAATTGGAATAATTTTTGGGACTGGAGCATCCACAGAGAGGCTGAGGGAAACGTGAGTACTCACCGTGTGCCCCTGCAATGTAAATGTCGATGTCGATCCGGATAAATTCTTTCAAAGTCTGTTAAAGAGCAAACAGGCACCATTTAGATAGTGATACGTTTGCTGATAGCAGCCATTACAGCAATTAACCAGAGCAATTTAAGGCATTGATTGTGTTTGAATAATGGCAAAGAGCTCTGCACCTGGGGGCAGAACAGTCTCTTCAGTGGCAGAGGACAGGGAGGACTGGTTGTTTTGGGGAGGGACAGTACTTAGTACATTCCACCCCCAGTGAAAAAGATGATCTCTCATAAACTGCATGGCTTTATTGTACCTACTTCACACATGATGAAAGTGAGCTTCTGGGGAGACTTTTCTAACTAGGGATTTCAGCAGAACTCCTGTTCCTGTTGCATGCACGCATTTAGTTCCTATGGAAATAGGTTAACCCAGCTAATGTGGATCTAGGTAGTTAACTTTAGCTATTGCTGTTGGAAAATGTTGTCCTCATTGCCCTGCTCAAGGTTGCCTTGGAAAGCGGGAGCAGGAGCAGAAATGAAACTCTGGTGCTCCAACTCCTGACCCCATGTTTAAAGCCATATTTCATAGGTGCTTTCTGTAAAACTTCCCAGAACCTTACCACCTGAGGAAAGGGTGCCAGAGCCAACACTTTAATTTCAAGAAAATTGAGATTAATTATTTAATCAGTTTCTGTAGAAGATGTAGATTCCAACTCACATAAACTCAAAGGTTGCCACTGGCTTTCCAGTCCATATAGAAATACCTCTATGAAGCACACGGCCACATTTATGTTTTTCTTTTCTACGATTGCTGTCTGTCTCGGCAATAAAAATTACCTTTTGAAGGACTCTCATGGCAGAAAAATCAAGGAAGGAGACTGCTGAGAAATCCAGCACAATGCTGTGGATGTTGACGTGGGGCACGGTGATGCCAGGCGGCAGGTCGGAGCTCCAGTCGATCCGAATGGGCAGGTCTGTCATGCTGGTGGGCTGGTCCAGCTCCTCTATCCTGTTGTTGTCTAACTCTTCATCGGACTCGTGCGTTTGGTTAGCCATGCAAATGAAGCCTTTCTGCATTGGCAGAGGAAAGTACCACAGTTACTACTTCTGTCTGAGACCCAGCCGGGTTGGAGCACGTCTTAAACAAGGGTGAGAGTGGTGGCAACACGAAGCTGGTGAGCCCATGAGATGGAGCAGGACCCATCAGCACTTTACACCAGAAAAAGTTCTGCCTCTCCCTCATCTGGGGGAGTGTGGAAATGTTGGCTTTCCTCTAACCAATCATTTAATCGTCATCATAATCCGTTAATGATTGTCTTTTATTTTCCACAAGAATTTATTGTTCCCTCAAGTCAGCGATCAGATACACTTTGATTCAGTAGATTTGGAACAAGCCAACAAAAAGCATGCAGGATTTGTGACTGTGAGAGACATTTAAAACCTTATTTTTGAAGTGTGTTTATGTCATGAGCTAGTGACTTGCAGAATAGTGTGTCTAATTAGGACAGGAGGCCGTGACTGGGGAATAGCACGGCTAATTAGGACAGGAGGCTGTGAATGCTCCTCTGAACTTCAAGCCAGGGAGCTGGTTGCTTGATTCCCCAGGGTCTTGCCTCTTTTTTCCCACCCTGTCTGCAGCAGGTGGAGCTGCCTTACGTACAGGTGTCACTTGAAGCTCTCCTTTCTTCAGCATCTTTCTGATTTTCCGCAGAGCCTTATTGCGTTTCCTCAGGATTCTAAGCGGGTTGAAGCCAACCTGCAGAAACAGCACTTTAGTTCTTTAGGTTTAGCCCAAAGTTCCAGTAACATATCAAATAATCATGATGGTGAAGATTTAGGAAAAAAAAAAAAAAGCAAAAACTCTTGAATAATGACACAAGTAAAAATAAATGAGCAAATATCCTTAGCTGAAATAATTATGAAGCCTTAAGTTTATGGCATAGAGCTTTTTTATGGAAGGTATTGTTTTATATTTATTTACTACATTTTAATTTTACTACCTTTAAACATTTTAGTAATGTCTTTTTGAGCTGTTTTTCTCCAAAAACCAACTGCCTTTGGTTCAGCTGCTTGCCAGGGTCTCCCATCTGCCTCCCTCTGTTATTCCAGATGAGTGCCCAGGCTGCTGCCTCCTTGCCCTGCCAGAAGGCCCTGGTGCCACTGTGTCCCCATCCACATGAGGGTGCTCCTCAGTGGGGTCACACTGGTGTGGCTGGGAACAGGCTCAGGCCAGGGGCTGTCCCTGACTGGTGCCTTTGGTGCCTTGCCAGTTGGCATCTCCTGGGGCAAAGCCCCAGAGGAAGGACACAGCATCTCATGCAGCTCTTCTTTACAGTCATGATGAGCATGGTTTGGACTTGATGCTACCTACCACTGTTCACCAATTAAACAAACCCTTTTTTCCAGTCGGGAAGACATCTACACTAGCACGGGTTGCAATAGAGCATGATGATGCTGTAGCACAAGGCAGCAGCCCCAGCAAGCTGGTGAATTGCTGGCTAGCCCTGAGCTTGTCTTACTCATCTGTGTTATGAGATGGCCACCCAGGCTATCAAGCTCACAGGTTTTATATATGCTCTGTGCCACCTGACAGCAATGTGGATCTCGACCCTCTTTAACAAAATTAGAAGGGCAGGTATGTCAGACTAATAAGGGCTACAAAAATACTACATTCCTGTAAGACTTCTGAGCTTGTGGCTGGAGGAGAGAGGTTTTAGAAGTGCCCATTTTTGTTTGAAAAGGAAAAGAAAGAGAGAGGCATGGGACTTCACAACCCTCAGGAAAAAAAAATCCTTCAGACTTTTCTGACATGGAAGCCAAGGTCATAGAAACCCAAATGTGCTGGATTCCCTCATCCCTGTGCCAGTTTCAGTCCCTCACATGGAGAATGAGCCACTCATTGCCACTGCTCAGCATAGCCACTGCCTATCTGTTCCCCACAGAAGCAGCAGTCAGGGGAGGCTGTGGGTGCCAGATGGGCTCGGGCAGCCCAGGGCTGGTGGGCATCTCTGGCACAGGCAGGGCTCAGCAGCTCGTGCTGGTTGCAGGAAGACAGGGCGATTTCATTCAGCTTTTGTTCTGTTTGCTGCGATTAAGTTCTTCAGGGCAAGGTGAATAAACTAGCATTTATTGGGTGTAAATAATATAAATAAAATAATGCTCTTTATATTTTCTGTGTTCCCAGTAGATTTTCTAAAGGACTTAAAAGCATGTATATACATTGCTATGGTAAAAGTCCAGCACCAATCAGGCTGTTCTCTTTCTCAGAGGTATGTATGTACACGTGGGACTACAGCAGTGAATAATTCATGAAAATCATCTCTGAACTATGAACAGACTGCGTAGTTATGGGGAAATTGTATTCAACCTTAATGTGTCACATAATTCATCTGTTCAAACTGACTGCCCCAGGCACTTACAGCAGTGATGAGTTTCTCTTTGAAGAATTCAATATTAGCAAAGAAGATAGGAGATGAGCATCTGAAAATCTTCACTCCCTCTGGCTCATAGATCTGCAACACGGAGAAAAGGTATCAGTAACAACGTCTGGTACAGAAAGGCAAATGCAGCAGGAAATAAAAGAAGCATGAGGTTTCTTACGTCAGTGTAATCCTTCCTGTTCCTGTAGATGTTACTTCTCCCAACGTTGGCCAAAATGGTGCAGCTCGGGCTACAAACAAACACGGGTGGTTATTTGTACCCCATGTTGAAACCTGGAGGAAGGGGCAGCTGGGGTTGCTCTCAGTTTGCTGTGTGGTTCTCTGAGGGTGAAAACCTTCTTTGCAAAGCTCAGCCCCTGCCTGTGGTGGCCATGCCCTGAGCACAGCTGCAGCTCTGGCCGCCCTGGTGAAATCAGCCAAGCATGGAGCTGTGCTGGATGAGCAGAGAAATGTCTGAAAGATTTAATTCAGATGGGAAGATGCTGACAGGAGCAGCCCTATTGCTGCCTGGTCTGAACTTCTTGCTAGTGAGCAGCCATCCGCATGGCTCCTGGCCAGAGCAAGACCTGCATCCCCCCGACCTGCTGGGCAGCTCACACAGGGTGCCTCTGTCCCTGCGTGTGCACACCTCTGTAAGGCAGCCCCCTGTCTGGCCTGTAATGGTATGTACAGTCACACTGAAGTAGCCAGTGTTGATATCCCTTTTGTTTTTCTTGCAGGTTTAGCCTATTTTTTGGTGGTGTCCTGCATGCACAGAGCTATAAGCATTTCCTTCCTCACAAACACCACTGGCCAGATATTTTTGGGCACCTCAGTGTATGTTTCCACTGAGATTTGCAGCACCAGTAAAGACGGAAATGTTATTTCTCAGACATGCAAAAGCTGGCCACCATCACTCCGCCTCGCCAAGAGCTCAGCACTGCCTATCAATGGTGGTCCCATGCTCCACAGACAAGCAAAGGCCCTGGAAAAGGATCCAACATTCAGGGATTTCTGCACATGACTGGTTTGCCCAAACATACTTGCTGGTCTTCTCTGCACAGGGGGAGTTAATTTGTAACAGGAGGCCCTGAGATGTTTTATCACCACGTCTAAGCACTCACAACTGGGAGCGGATCACCACGGTCAGCAGCTCAAAAGCCACGGCAGTTGCCAGCCCAATATCCAGGCCAAGGAAAACGGCGGCTAAGAAAGTCACCACCCAGATCACCTGCAGGGAACAGAAGGACATCAGTGGTTATGAGCGTGATGAGGACCAGGATCGTGAGCCCCGAGTGAGAGCAGCAACCTCTGTACTACTTTCTCTGATCTGGTACAGGATGTCAATTTTTTTGTTATTATTATTATTATTATTATTATTATTATTTTAAATGATTTTGTCTTTCATAGCTGCTTATCTTGTAAAATAGGGCTGCGCTCACCAACAAGCACCAGGAAGCAATTCTAGAGACAACAGTTTCTGTACAACACATTTGAAGGATCAGAATAATAAAAGTGTGAATCTTTCATAGGTGGTTCACCAAATGCTTGATACAAATCCAAGAGAAGTGCAAGGTTAGAAGTAAATTGGTGTCCTGGTGAAGCTGAGAGTTGTAAATATGCCTCGTACAGCAAGACAGGCAAATTTAGCTGCCGTGAATGTACTTGACTGATAAACACAAATTACTGGATAATAATGAATATTTTAACTGCAGATCTCAAAGCACATTTTCATCTGGAAAATGACTGTTTTGCAGCTCAGAAACCTGAGGTCTGGTATGATTCAGAAACACAAAGAACTGACAGATGAGAAAGGCAAGAGACCATCTTCTGAGAGGTAAGAGGTCCTGTCCTGCAGCCACCAGCTTGACTGTTGGGAGTAAATCCTTCCAGCCATGGTCTGCACTTGCTTTTTGTGTATTACCTTCCACCTGTTGTGCTACATGAGTTTATGAAAGGGAGAAAATGTTCCTGTAGTCAATGCAGCATATATTTAGACTTTTTTTGTTTTTTAACTTTCTTTCTATGTTTGAGTTTATATAAGGAACTGTTTTTTGATGAAATGGTTGGAAATGGATGTCTCCTAGAGAGATGAGCAGACAGAATTGACTCAGGATAGCTGGGACACAAAGAAAAACATGAGCAAGGGGCGCAAGAGTAAAAAAGGCATGCTCTTGTTGTCCTTTCCATGTAGAGAAGCAAGGCAGCTGTAAAAATAAAGATGACCTTTAAGAGCATTTGCATAAGAGGTGACTTTTCCATAGTGCTTCATTCCTGATTGCTTGTGGGACTCCACTTACACAGTCATATTTGTCCTTCCTCCACAGGACGCCCACTTCCTTGAATTGCATGAGCATTCCTTTCAAGTTGCCCAGAGCCAAAGCTGCGAGGACTGACTGTTAAGAAGAGCAAAACGCATACTGAATTTCAAAGCATGAAAAGCACATATTGAACATTTAGCCTTAAAACATTTTACAAACAGGGCCAAAATGCAACTCCTCCCAGTGTATCGCTGCTGCGGGTCGGGATGCCCCGTCCATCACACTGGAATCTCCCTAGCTGTGGTGCAGCTCAGGTGCCTGACTTGGGGCTGCAAATCCCACTTACTTTTGGCACCTAAAAGCTGGTGCTCTGATGTCTGGTGTGTGGGCACCTGCATTCCCTTTGACCACAGGTTCGTGGTTCTGCCTGTCATAATCTGGGAGAAATAGTCTAGTTTTGCAAAACCCTGTTCGGCTCCCACTGAAGTCTGTGAACATTCCCAGTGCCTCCTAGAGCAGCCCTAGGTTTGGCAAGCAGGAGGAAGCACGAAGTAAGGCAAGTGAATACCTTCTGTAATGGTTCCAGGAGAAACCCGATGGCCAAGATGACAATCAAGACGATGAATGCTGAGATAATACCAGCAATCTGCAAGAGGGAACAATTCCACCATGAATAAGTGCCCAAAGGCATTAGGGTCAGAAGTGAAAAAAGAGACCTTTCTCACATTAAAAGCCATCATTACCCGTTGTATTCTTTACCTGTGTTTTGCCTCCTGTGCTCTCCTGCACACCTGATCTTGACAAAGCTGTACTGGAGGCAAATCCTTTGAATGCTCCACCAACGATATTACCCAGTCCAAAAGCAATTAGTTCCTGGAATAAAAACGAAAAAAGACTGTTCTTAAAAGCTAGTCTGTGATGGTTATTCACAAGAAAAGCATTCCAAAAATGACTTACTTCCCACTGACAAACGCACAGTACTGACCTCTGTGTCATTGACCTACCTGGTTGCCATCTATCGGGTAGTCGTGCTTGATGGAATACACTTTAGCCACGGAGAAGGCTACTGCAAACGCAACGATTGCAATGGAAATGCTGTCACCGATACACTTCTGGAGGATGCCTATATCAGGTGCAACAGGAGCTTGAAATCTGGAAGACAAAAATCTCTGCTCTTTAAGGATGTGCCTGGGGAGACAGTTTGCCAAGCAAGTGGGCAAGGCAGCGATCCAGCTCATGCAGTTTTAGCTGAGCACCTTGCAGAGCTGAGACACATAATTGTAAATCTGGACCCTGTAAAGCTCTGGGGGATCCTGGATTGGGACTGGGACTCTCTTTATCTGCACTCATCTCAAGTGGTGTCTCTGTGGGTTACCATTTACTTGGCCAGGACCAGCCATAGTTTATCTTGGCTGAAGTGCTGTGCATGGTTCTGCCTTCTAATTACACATAGATTTAGAAAATCCCTGTGTGATTCACTGAAGCACTTTACACAGCTAAACAAACATTTACTAAGTCAGGTTAGCCCCTCTGCTATATGCTTTAGCGTTGCCATGTCCTGCTCCTTTGCTCAGGGCCTTCTGCAGATCCTGGGGGGAATTCCTCTCTGCTATTTTTTTTTTTCTTTTTCCAGTGAACTGATATCTGAAGAGTGGAGACTCTTGAGCAGAATTAGCTGTTCCTCTGCAAACTTCATCTACTAACAGCCCTCGGGCTACAAGTGCTGAGTGCCCTGGTGAGTAAATGGCTGCAGTCTGATGTCCTAGTAAATGCCTTCCTCCCTCCTTTAAACTTAATGCATGTTTGTTAAGTCTTTATGCCAAAATTCTGGCATACCTGGATATATTCTATATACCACATATACTCTACCTATGGATATATAATCTATATGTGGATATACTCCCAGAGGAGTGTACATCGAGGCCTTTTGAGGGTAATGCTGCCAGGGGAAAGCTCATGACTGGTCACAGGGGACAGGGGACCAGCAGGAGATCTGCGTGGGGTCATTGTGGCCTCCCAGGGCTGGTGGTGGCTGCTGAACCATGGGCATACTTAGGGGGAAATGCAGGGGTTCAGGTGTGCTCAGTAAAAGGGGCATATATCAAAATCCTGCTCAGCAGCTTGGGAAATGAAGCATGAGATTATTTCATGCCACAGTTTCAGGAAAGAAAAATCATTCCTTGTTGCACAGATGTGCTACAGTAAGTAACTTTTATCTTTTCAGAATGGGTCCTAATATTGTTGAGAGCAAACTTTCTATTTACCTGCTGAAAGAAGATGAAGTAAGTGATTCTGATCATAAAATAGAGCCAAAATGATTTAGCCCTGACAAAATAGAGAGAACATTTTGCTCCATTAGTAAATTGTAAAGAAATAACTTACCCTTCTTCTAGCTTTCCAACAACAGCTACATTAAATCTTTTTTCAAATTCGAGAAAATGGGAAATCAGTGCTGCTAAGACTGTCTGAAATATAAAACCCAATTCCATTAGGAACATTCAAATAAAAGTATGGAGAAACCATTAAGAAACATTTCCTTCCCTCTCCCAGACACTCTTCAGCCTCATCACCAGCAGCAGGATAGTGCCCTAAGCCTGCACATCCATTTCATGTTCATATGTGATTCCTGAATAACTTTATAGGCATGGCTTTACAGTCATAAACCCCACAGAGAACACATCAGAGTACCTCACTAATATAAAACTAATAGAAAATAGAAAACTAACAGAAAACAGGTGGGGAGGGAGCTGCCCTGTCATGTTTTCCCCCACCCCGCTGCAGCTCAGGGCAGCTTGTTCCCTCTGCTGCTGGTGAACAAAGCTAGCCAGCTAGAGGGCTGCTCCCCACGTCGCTGTAGTGATGGAGCAATCACGAAATCGAATAGGGGTGACCATTACCACAATCAGCTCGATGGGGATGGGAGCTGGTAACTTCGCTTTGTAGCGGTCGTTCAACTCTTTCACCACAAACACGATCAGCAGGACAAGAAGGGAGGTGAGGAGGTCGGCGATGTTTGTGTCTTTGATCTGGCTGAACACACTCTCCAGAGTCTGCAAAATCAATAAGAAATGTGGTGCTTTTCAAGCAATAATGCCTTGACACAGCAGCATTATTCTTTCCAGAAATGCCTGTACCTAAACCACCCTAAGGACTGTGGGGTTGGGATTTACTTCTGGTGTACCGTGGAAGTTGCAAGCCCCAATGAATGCACACACACATCCATGAAAGCATCCATGAAAGGCCCTTTGCAATGGCTCTCATCCCTCTCCTTCTGGGCTGTCCCCTCTTCTACCTCCTTTCTCATCCAACAGCCCTCAAGAGTCATACACACATTAGATAAATAAAATATTGGTCCAGTTAAAAGGACTAATTTGAGCCAAAGTTGAACACAAAGTTAAAATATGCTAACACAACAGAAAACACTATCTAACCAGCCCAACAGGGTGTGATTTGGTCTCTGGAGAGAAATTTAAAGATCTGTCGTATACTGATAACACATCTTTTATATTTTTCTCTTGTGTTTCCTCCTGCTTGGCTCTTTGTTCGCTCAGGTATGTTATTGCTGCCTAGTGGCACACAGTCAGGCATACACCACAGGTTCCCATAACATTAACAAGTGCCGAACAGCTAGCACTTACATAGATGATGCCAAATGGTACATTATATCCAGGGACAGACAGCTGAAGCATGAACTTCAGCTGGGACACCAGAACATGGATGGCTGCAGCAGTTGTGAAACCACTGATTAATGAATGTGATAAATAAATGACGATGAATCCAAACTGGATAATTCCCAGAAGCAACTGAAATGCAAAATGACCATGCATTAGTGTGATTCACTCATGCTTTTAAGCAATAAACATATTAAATAGGAACAGATTTTCACCTAATCCTGTACATCCAGGGACTGAGGAAGATACTGTCACCAGACTGGCAATAAAGGTTGAGACTTAGCAACAGGGGGCATAAGTCTTATAGGAGTAATTGCTACAGCAGTTAAAACCTATTATTTTTATTTTATAGCTAAAATAAATCTTCTTTAGTCTTAGGGTTTTCAGTAGATGTGTTTTTACTTGGTACCTGTGCTTCATGAAGAATGAACATATAAATATATTAGGAAGGAATTAATTTTAGGAATTTTTAGGTCTTTTACAACATGAATCAGTGTGTGGCAATGGGAAGCAGACAGACATGTCCTCATCAGTACGCCAGGGTAAGATACATGGGAATGGGAAGAGAATTATTTCTGTGACTCCTCTGGCAGAAAGCAGAGGATGGCCAGTCACCATCCATCTGTTTACATAAGTGCATGTAGACGAATGCGGGCAGACACACATATATTTACCAACCTGGATGATCCCAGCAAGGAAGGTTACAGATGCAGCTACCATCACCCGCTCTTGATCTATGATTGAGGTGTTGGTGGAAGTGTCATTTACAGTACTATCGGGGACCAGCCTGACGACAACTCCTCCCACCATCAGGCTCAGGACAGGGAAGGGACCTGTGCACAAGGCATGCATTAGACACAAAAATCCAGCCTGCAAGTTCTTTGGCGACGAGGGAGGTCAGTGTGCCTGAACTTACCCACTGAGATGTGCCGGGATGTGCCGAAGATAAAATAGACCAGGACTGGGAAGAATGCTGCGTAGAGCCCATAACCAGGAGGGACATTCACCAGCAAGGCGAACGCAAGACCTGTAAGGACAGACAGCAGGGTGGGGAGGTATGTGTGGCAGGCTGGAGCCAGCAGCCTCCTTCCAGCCAGCTGAGTTGGAGCAGAGGTTCCCCAGAGCTGTTACCTTGCAGCACGGACACCAGCCCTGTGTTAATGCCGGAGATGATATCGCTGAGGATCCACTCCCTGAAGCGGTACGCCGGCAGCCATGAGACGATGGGAAAAAAACGCAAGGCAATTCTTTTGGCCTTTTGCCGGGAGCAACTGTAAAGACACAAGAGGACATAGGTCTCTGGGTGAACGTCCCAGATGAATCTGAGTCTCAGCACACCAGGATGTGCTCCCTATCTTTGGAGGGGAATGACAGGAGAAGGATTGAGGTTTGGCTTGCCAGAGGTCAAAGTCTCGCCAGACACAGCCCTGAGCAACCTGCACAGTCAGCTCCGCTTCCAGCAAGGGGCTGGATGTGGTGACCTCCAGAGGTCCCCTCCAACAGAGACATGGTGAGTCTGTGCTGCCAAGTGCCCAGGAAAAGACAAGCTGCCTGGGATACAATTGTAGGAAGACCTTTAAGGGTAATAGCAGCTAAAAATCTTTAGAAAATTCTGACCGTGCATGTAGTAAATCAGTTTTCATTTGCTTTGTTGGAATCTGAAACAAAAGGTGTCAGAATGGACTTCATGCTATCTGAGTGCTGCAGTCCAGGTTGTTTCTTAGATCCATATTAAAGAAAGAAACCTTCTTACCGAAAATACAGTTTCAGGTTATCCCAAAAGTTTTTATGGTATCTGTGCAATTTCTCATGCTCTTCATCAAACGAGTTCTCCGAGTACACTGGTCTGGCTACGATATAGTGGTTGCCTACAGGTTCAACCATTTCGCCTGGAAGACGAGGATGGGGACTGTTGTGTGCCTCTCTTTGTCGTTAGTCAATTAAAAACCTGAAATGAAGTACAAAATTAGCTCCCTATGTTCTGTGGGGTGAGTAGCCATAGCATAGATGAGTGAGCTCCAAACTGAGCGTTGCCACCTTTGAAGATCAAAAGACAGATGGCTGAGAGACACCCGCTTCATTTGGCCAAGGTGAACTCCTGCCCTTCTCCTCCCACTGCAGGGCAGTGTTTCACTGGAGCATGAAACATTTCTTTCTAAAGATGCAGCCAAAAAGTGGACAAGATGGATTTTGAGTTAATTTATCTCTGAGTCGGCTGTCTACAGCTGATAACTATCTCTCTCAAGGGGACTAATCTCTTACGGAATGAACAAGCAGATCCCAAACATTTTGTCTCTGTGGCACAGTGAAGAAGCACTGAGCCTGGACAGGAAGGTTGGGAGCTGAAAGCCACCGCAAATCCAAGGGGAAAAGGCAGAGCCAAGGCTCAGCCATTCCCTCCTGGACTCAGAGACAGGGTTCAATCTTTTGGCTTGTGTCTGGGTGTTGGGGACTCAGCAGTAAAAACGTGTATTTCATGCTCACAAACAACTGTCGCAATGTCTGACCTAAATATGGCTTTCCGCCTTGTCCCACCCCACATTGACAAGTTTGTGCTGAATAAAGGCTTTCCTCCGTCACTCCAGAAATGACCCCTGAAGCCCACATTGCACACAAAGAGATTTAAGATTCACTGCATTCATACCATGGGGTATTTTTCAGCAACTCCTTGACTCCATTGCTGTGCTGCCCACTGTGCTCTGCTATGTTTCTCTCAGTGCCTCGCATTCTTCCTATGTTAAAGCCACCTAATAACATTTATTTCTATTGTAGTCACCATTAAATATTTAATACAGTACTAGTCCTAGACAGCAACAGTGGGACTTGCTCCTGGGAGCCTCAATACCCTGACAATAAGTAATTTCTCTTTGTTTTCTCTCCCTTATCATAAATGCTTCCTTATGCCTTGCTGCTTGCTGGTCTTGCAAGCTGACTTACACCGAAACACCCCACGTGCAATTCTAATTTCCACTTGTGTGTACAAAATATTTGGAGGCATCAGGACATATTTTCAAGTGGCACAAAGTGCTTTGCATTGTTATGAACAGACAGAAAGCTGTTTATCTGTAACAATTTTTGCATTAAAATGTAAATCCTATCCTGAAACTCACTGCTTTGCTATAGCTCGGGGTGTTATTGACCTACTTCAAATAATCTCACTTTTAGCTTTCTCTTAGTTTATTCTGAGGAAATTCATGAAAGTAAAAAGGTCCAAACGACATCAGATGAACCTCTTAGATATGTTATATTTTTTGTGGATATATTATTTTGCCATAGAAGATTCACTATTTAGGCAATGTTTTAAACATTTGTAACATAAAAAAAAATAGATCTGTAATATTTTCCAAACACAGGCAAGTAATTATTCTATGAGGTTAATATTCAAAATCTAAGGTCGTTCAAGACCTTGACCCAAAGCATGTTAAAATCAGCCAGAGAAATCACACTCCAATCCTATAATTGCACTTTACTGTCCTTCCCTCTGTTTGGTGTCAAAATCTGATGCTGATGAAATTGAAATGAAAAACTTGGTTGATTTTGTTCTTTCTCTTGTAGGTCTTGATGTATATAGAATTTCAGAAAGCAGTTTTATCTGTCAATTAGGATTTCAGGAAGGGGTTTTATCGGTCAAAGACTTTAAAATTGCTGTTTCTTACTCTATCAGTCCTTTACACTTCAAATCACAGCGAGGGATATTATCAAAAGCCCTGCTAAATAGTTTTGCTCATTACTTTGTAGGGCATAAGATGTACTATTTGTACCCTTTGAAATGGTCATAAGCCATAAAAAGAAAAGAAGCATGTGGGTTACTCTTTCATTTCAAATTTTCTCCAGTTCTGCAGCTGTTGTGAATGCTTCACTTGTCTCCCCTGTGCCTTGCCCAGCCTTGATCCTTTCCTCAGACCAAATTTAATGCCCCCATCTCAGGAAACATACAATATGCCTCTGTAGAACTCTAAATCTTCTTTGGTTTATCAGTGCTTGTGTTGTTGAAAGCATAAGTATTTTGCATGTCTTTTTTTTTTTTTTTTTTCTTTTTCTTTTTCCTGATAGAAACCCCATTTTACCAGCTAGCTTTGATGGGTTGCTTAGCACTGCAAAAGGAGCCCTGGATTCTCACCCTGAGGGTCTCATCCAGCTGAATGATGTGTGAAGCATGGGTCTGCTTCAAAGACCATAGTGCCATGTGGCATTATCCAAATTAAGTTTAACCCAGCAAGGTTGAGTGCCTGAAGCGCAGAAGAAGGTGCCTTCAGCCTGTTTCCTGGCAGGGTAGATGAGACCTTATGGATCACCACCCTACCACAGCTAGATGACCACTGCTGCTAGTTGCTCTCGAGCTTTTCTCATCTTGTTCCCTTTTCCATGGGCTCTGCCAACAGCTATCAGCTGCCATAACTTCGGTCAGTATTGCTTTCTTCTTTCTCATTCTCATTTTCCTCACATCTATATTTAGAAATATAGGATCCCCTTTGCATGGGCACCATTACTTATTTTAGGTATTTTAGGGAAAACAGGGATATTGTGGAAAGTACCAGTATAGTGGAGACTAAGATCCTCTGCAAATCCGTGATAGAGATATCTGTACTCCAGTGATCCCCACTGTCTTCCCAGTATGTTCCCATCATAAAGTCCTCGGACTTCTTGTGGGAAGGTGGCCAGTCTCTCACACATAAAAGGCTCCAACTCCCCTGCTAATCTCCACATTTGTGAACCATTGGTAATACATATTTTGATGTATGTCATTTTGTTGAGCAGATTAGCAAAGCCATACTTTCCCCCCTTACTTAATTTATCCTAAATATTGACTAAGAAACACACACAAAAAAGTGATAACTTTAACAGAATAATTAAATGTTAACACAATTTGTCTCACTTTTCAGTGAGATACACACAACCTCTGTTTTTCTATAATATAAATGTTTAAAAAAATAATCCATGAGGGAGCCTTTCAGATTTTACAAGAAATATTTCATTTATAAGCATTACTTCCCATATCCCATATCCAGACTGGCAAGTGAAAATCCTACCTGATGTGTCTTCTGTGAACCTCTTCAGAAGAATCCACACAAGGATTATATAGAAAAAGATAACCTTGAAATTTTCTGAGGCAGCACAGGTATCTTGTGCTGCCCTTCATTTCAGAACCTCCCTAAATACTGCCAGCATTTTAATAACTAACTTCAGTTAACTTTTACAAGAAAAGGAAGATTTCACTGTGGCCTTGACCATTGAGTCCACTCTCAGGAGGGATGATAAGAGTCATTTCTTAAAGTTCTCTGGGATATTGCTTAACTTTGTTTGGAAAACTGTTCCTGATTGGTCTGCAGAGATTAATGCAGGAAAATAGAGATGAATCAGGATGGTCTGTTGCAATGCTTTGCTGTGCATCTGCCAGGGCTCTGTTGGGTGTAGTAGGAAGTGGTGACCAGAGCCTAGGTATGGCACCCTGCATTTCGTAAAGAGTGACCTGGTGGTAAGTGAGATGGGACTGCTGGGTGTGGTAGCCCTGGACAAGGTGTGTCCTCTGAACCTTTCTCCCAAGCACTATAAGGGACTCGACATCATCCTTCCAGGAGCAATTCTGGAGTGCTTAGGTCCTTATCAAATACAGCCATGACAGGGCTTTCAAAGGCCAGCTGTGAGGCGGTGGCTCTGATGGCTGTGGCACCCCGTGACAGCCGGTGGAAAGGTGCAGGCTGTGTGTGCAGCCGAGTGTTGGGGCACAAACGTGGTATAAGTGGGTTGGATGGCCCTACGGGATCCTGCTCCCCTTCACTGCCTGTAAAGGAACTGAGGGGTCCTCCCTAGGCCAAAGCAAGTCTTTGTAAACATTTCTGTGAGGTACCCCAAACCATTTCAGGAGGTAGATGGAATAATATTCCAATGTTATTCCAACTGTGTAACTCCAGCAGTAGGTACCTGTGCTCAGGACATCAGTACACCCTCAGTGCTGAGGTGCTGAGGACACCTTAGCATCAAATTTTCCTGATGAAAACCATCCTTGGGACCCTTTCCTTAGGTCACGCTGCCACAAACGCCTGCGCACACTTCAGCCATTGATACCTGTAATGTCCACAGATGGCCATAGGGTGCTAAACTCCTCAGGGAACTCCTCTGGTCTGGAAACCAGAGCTTGTCTTAGCCTTTGGGGGTTTGAAATCACAGATCCTGCCCCTGAAGGAACAGGTTCCATGTTTTGATGAGGGGCATGGCGTAAGGGAGGGCACGGTGTGAGGGAGAGGAGACTGCGTGTGCTCCTGAGGCACAGCCAGACACAGGAGTCTAGGAGGAGGCATAGCAGCAGCAGCCTGAGGTGCTGCTCTCCGATGGTTTGTACATATTTCAGTCAATGATTAAGCCAAGAAATAATGGAGTGAGCAGAACCCCAGTACCCATCCCCACAAGGTGTGTGTCTGTTTGCTTGTGCAATCAGGGTTTCTTTTCCTGTGCTCTAGCCCATGGCTCTGGGCTCTCTGAGGCTCTTTATGGCCCTCAGGTGCTTTTGAAAGTTTAAGCTACATTTTCAACCAAGACCATAAGCTCTTCTACTCAGTAAAGATCCCAGGTCACTTCCTGAACCGGAGAGTGCCTTCCCTTTGACTGCACACCCCTGCTTTTGATAACTGCTGAAAGGCTTAAGGGATTTGCTGCAGTTTGTAAAACTGCCACAGAAAGAACATTTACCCTAAAAACAACAATCATTGAAAAGATGCAGAACAGCTGAAACCGTAAAATAATGAAACACATTTTGACCTCATGCCTTGTCAAAGTGCAGGTATAATGTGGTCATAGAAGTGCTTTAAACCCAGTTTGAAGTCTTCAAGGTATTCTTAAGTCTCTGTATTCAGAGTACGTCACGAGAAGCTGCAATTTGAACAGCAGGACAACTTTTTGAGGACTAGGCTTAAGTGCAGGAGGGACTCTTAGCTCTGAGAGTCTTGTCCTCAGCTTCATCAGGGCCACCTGTAAGTGCTTTACTCTTGGAGTGCTTCCAGAAACTCACTCAAGCAATAAGGTCTTCACTACATAGAGTGACAAACAGAATAAAAACCTTGGCCTTTTTTGTTGGCAGCAATAATGTTAAGAACACAATTTTCTCTTGATGGTGTAGGAGAGGTTTTGTGCACAAGGGTCATGCAGAAGATGGGTTGCCTCTGTCCCACAGTGCATGAATTTGGCTGTGCAAAGTCCTGGTGGCTTTATGCTGGGTGCTGAAACACCAGCTAAACACCATAGCCAGTTGGAAAAGTGTGGCCTTTTCTGTCAAGAAAGAGCAGAAGAGGAGGAAACAAAAATTTCTCATTGCTCTATGTCTCTCAGGCAGCCCCAGAAATGTGAAGAGTTGAATGCTGTAAATGAGTCACAGCCTAAGCCCTTGCCAAGTGTCAAGTACCCTCACCTTCCTCTTTTTTTTCTGAAAACCACCCACGGCTGCTTGGTGAGCTGAGCTCTGGAGTGCTTCACATGTGCTGCCTCCCACTCCAGTCAGGATGGGGAGGGAGGAACAAGTGGCTGGAAGGAGATAAAGCATTAACAAACTGTCTGAACAGCTCAAAACTGCAGGGAGGGAGACACTATTTTTCATAGAGAAAGAAGAAAACAGTTCTGTTGAAGTCATAAAGGGAGATGCATTTTCCTTGTCTCGTGAAGAGCTCCACGTCTTTCCCTAAGTGTTAAATAAACACCACTATCGATAATGGGAGATTAGGTGGCTGAGAATGTACATTACAGCATCAACCTGTGCAGAGTTTGAGTGTGTTTCCCAATGTTTTCCTTTACCATGTGCTCTATAAAGCTTCTGTTCTTGTGTGCAGCTTTCTGGCCATGTCCTGTCCTCTGCTGCCCAGCTGGTCACGATGCTGCCCAGTTCTGCCTGAAACCTTCAGGCAAAACATCTCTCTCAGTGCCATCTGCTGGGATGCCTCCAATGCAGAACACCCCAAACTCAAGCTCTTCCAACCCTTTCAGATATGAAACTCTTCTACTTGAGCAGCTCAGTGTGCAAAAGAAACATTAGCAGTAAGTACAGGAGTTGGTTTGGTTGTGCAGCTCTGGTGGGTGCCAGTTCCTCAGAAACATTTCAGAGCAAGGACAGGGACCACAGCCCCAGGAAAAACTGAATCTTCCATGGTGAGGACCTGCAAGAAAGAAAAGCAAAACTGGGTGACCCTGAGAGGTCCTCATGGAAAGCAGAGGTGTTGTTTCTACTCACAGACTCAGGACACTAATGCTAGAAGGAAGCATTCCACTTTCAGCCTCATATATTCTCTTGCACCTTGTTTCCTACAGCAAGTTTCTCTTTCTAGTACCCTGAGGCACAAATCAAATCAGCCATGCTGCTGGGTCAAATTTAATGGTGTTGCATGAAATGGGGTGAGGATGAATACGTTTCAGTTAAGAAGCAAGTGTCAGGCAGTCATTAGGTTGGGCAGGAGAAGGTCAGGTTCCATTAATATTTCTGGATTGCTCTCATTTATTGAGACGTACAGAAGAAGAGGTTCTGAATTTTGGCCAGTTTGTCTCTGGAAGAGGTAATACCCTGCTAGGACATGGGTCATAGAAAGCTATCGCTCCTTTGTGAAGAGCACACGATGAGCAGGAGCACCCAGTGCTGTTACAGAGCATTTCGTGCAGAGGAGATGGAAACTTCTAGTACAAGGGTTGGTACCATAGTCATATCTCTCCTATTTTTAATTCACATTTGTTTTATAACACTTTTGTATTTTAATTCTCTTTTATTATGTACTGAAGAGTTATTCTATTCTGAAAGCCAGCAATCTTGGCCCGAATGATGGGTGTTTATACAATGACTTCATACCATAAAGAGTACAAACACAAAATCTTGCACGTTACTTTTCAGAGCAGGGAGTATTTTGTCATCCTCCTACATCAACATTAAAATTGGGCCTCATTCTTCAAGGCAAAAGTCATATTTTAATCCAATATTAATGTTATTTTTTTCTCTGAAGAACTTTCCATATTTTGCTTAAGGCATAAGTAGTTCTGCTGTTTCTCTTTGAAGCTGTCTCTTGATTGCATGAAGCAGATCAATCTCTTAAGAGGTCCCTTGCATCAGAGGCAATCAACTAAATTAGACTCGTTAATTCAGCATTTAACCCTATTTTAACACTTTGCTTGAATATACCAGCACATTATTTAAGATTTGGCTGGGCGGAGAATCACAGCACTGGGAGGCTGCACAACTACAGAGCCCCGCAGAGCTTCTCCTGCTGATGATGGCTGAGTCAGAGAATCTGCAGCCTCACAGCTGGATGTGCCCTCTCCTTTGATAGAGAAGTTATCACTCTACTGCTGCATGCTCACGTAGTGTGTGTTACACAGAGAGTAATGAGTGTTCAGATATCTGAAAATAATGTGCAGGTGTAGATAGTCCTGCTTGTGCCATGGTGCAGCAGGAGGCTCAGACGTGACTCTCCACACTCTGCCCGCTGGCTCCAAGGGCAGCTGCTTGTGGGACACCCACCTGCAAGAGGTTTTCAGCCACATTAGAGTCCAAAAACCTCCTACATCCCTTCAGGCTTAGGGAGAGGCATTGTGCAGGGTCCTGTCCACCTCAGACTTGCATACAGCAGTTACATATATCCCATCTCTACGTATATCCCATCTCTACATATATCCCATCTCTGCTTGTGGCTCTACACCACAGTCCTTTGCTGCTGAGACTGTGCAAGCCCATTGTGCAAATACCATGCTGACATGGTGGGACAGGGAAGTCCCCATCCCCACTGGGTTTCACGTGAGGTGTCTCCATCCTGGCATGCTGGGGCAGGTGGCAGGAAGAATAGTTATATCTGTCTTCCCTGGGCTTGGTCAACTGCAGCTCAAGAGCTGTCGCATGTGCAAGGTTGGATGAGGCGTGACACTCAGTCTCAGTGTCCCTGTCCCAACTCAGCTGGGCAAGGAAAGTCCCATTTGTCCACCCATCGCTACCAGCTGAACCATCTGGGGACTCTGTCCCCAAGCCATGTCCATGACTTCATCCCAGTGTGTGTCTCCCCAGAGGTCAGTCAGGTTACTAATCCCTGAAGACCACAGCAGTCACCTGAATTTCAACCACTAACCCCAAATAGTTTTTGTAAAATAAAAGCAAAGTCAAACTGGCATGAAAACTAACCCAACACGAAACAGTAATCACAAATGCCCCAAATGCTGCCTGGCAG